ATCAGATTCGGAGTGGTGTTCAAAATGAGTTATTTCATTTGTCCATTCAAAACATATTGAACAGTTTTGTCAAATAAACAGAAAAATGAATTTGGGACTGATTATAATATTTATATATGAAAATTGTTTGAAATGTTCAGAAGAACCCAAGAAAACCTACAACTATTGTTCTCAACTGGTCAACATTCATTTAATTTAATCAACTTTGATGTCCAAAAGAGTCCCAGGAAATTCAAGATGTGTTCCAAGATAATGAAATTTCAGGATATTGCAAATGATTTGAGAAAAGTTCTATCTATTGATTTCAGGAAATTAATTTCCATAGATTTCAAACAAATTCCAGACAATCCCAGAAGAACTATACTCAACTGTCGTGGCCTTGTTTTTTCATTTGAATCGATTTCCATTAAAATTTGTCTCGAAATTTCTGGAAATTCGTACATATATAACGACCAAAAGTCCGTCGCCCCCTCGTAACTTTTTATCTAACATATAAAAAAAATTGATATATTCAATGTTTCAAGTTACATTTACACTGAGTGTCAAATAGAACACTCTGTATATTATCGCATTATCAGATTCTACATTGGATTTTGAACAAGTTTGATGGATTAATCTATGTCATAATGTAAAAGTAAATTATTATTTCAACTATTTTTGCACCAGTTCTGAAAGAAAACGGTTGAAATTAGAACACAATGTATTTCATCTTCCTATTCTATAATTTTGAAAGCTTTCTTATTTCTTCGTAACTTGAAATATATAGAAGATACGAGGGGGAGGAGCGACGGACTGGTCCTGAGTTTGCACTTCACTGTATACCAAAAAAAAATCTAGTTATTCCAAAAGATTGCAAGTAATTCACTGACATTGGGTGAACACAAAATGATAGAGTTTTCATAAAAAATACACAAAATTGGTTTAATAACTGTCGGTAGGTTAATCGAGGAGTGGTACATTCATTTTACTTGATTTTTTGGGATTTTCTCTCCTCGTTTCTATAAATTGAAAATATGCGTATTTTTTCAATATATTTGTAGTGGGACAAATCAGATGATTTGCCCCAAAATGTCACTGCGTTTAACAAATTTTTCTATCAGAGAGCCTAGAAGGAAAATCCAGTATCTGACCGATTTCAGAAAACTTTTTTTTGTTGGATAGGTATTTGAAATGTCCATCCAACAAGAGAGTGATTTCACTCATGAACTGTAATCGTGGCCAACTGCGACCAACTTTATTGACCCATATTTGAGAAAGTACTATTAGGGATTTTTTTTCACAAAAAACAATAATGGATTCTGAATCACGATCACTTGAAAAACACCTTTACTGATTTTAATCATCATAAAACACAGGATGTCCGAAAAAACGGATCATTTTTTTTTAATAGGTGATCAGAAAATGTAGTATTGTGGTATTTTTGAGAAGAATTGATGACACATTATTATTGAGGATCACTTTGAACATATCTGTACCGATTTTCATCATTCAAATATATGATGTGTATGAGAAAACAATGGGGAAGACCACTGAGGAAAGAAATCCGTGCAAACCTCTTTCAATCGACGAATCATGATTTACGTTTGGTCTACAATCGATATTATGAGTTGAAGTTGAAGGGAATCGAATCTATATCGTTTTGAAATCAGCATATTTCATTCGTTATTTCGAGAAGCCAAATATGTTGGTGGAGCCGTGACGTATTAGTCCCGCACTGTAGCTATCTCTCTCTGATACCTCGTCATTCTGCAGTGTTGAAGTGTGATTGGTGAGTTCAAGGACAATAGGCGTGTTGGGACTAAGACGTCGCACCAATGAATTGACAAAACTTCAAATGGCGCAGGGATTATGTGTTTTGAAATAGACATATTCTAATTCATTTTTTTCATCGTCTTAGCATGAATGAAAAAATTCAAAATTGATTCACTGGTAGTTTTTCAGTATAGAGTTCACGATAATGTCGTTTCAAAAAATCGGTGCTCTCCCCCATTGAAAAGAAAAAGTAGGCAATATTTTTTCATCAACTCAACAGAAATATTAAATTGATTTTTCGAACACCCTGTGTTTAATGATGATGAAAATAGGTACAGGTATGTTCCAAGTGATCCTGATTCATCCTTTTATTTTGAGTGAAGAATTATCAGGATGAAAAATATAGCATACCTATCCTTTGTAATTTTTTTCTCAGACACATTGTATATTCAAATGATGAAAATTGGTACAGGTATATTTGAAATAATCCTCAATGATGATTTGTGATTATTTCTTTCTAGAAAAACCACAGAACTACATTTGCTGATCACTTATTTGACGAAAATGATGATTCGTTTTTTCGGAAACCCTGTGTTTTATGATGATGAAAATCGGTACAGGTATATTTCAAGTGGTACTGATTCAGAATCCATAATCAAGTTTTGTGGAAAAAATCCCTAATAGTACTTTCTGGAATATGGGTCATTGAAATTTGTCGCAGTTGGCCACGATAACAGTCCAAGAATCTCTGGATGGGCATTTCAAATACCTATCCAACAAAACAAGTTTTTTTGAAATTAGTCGGATAATAACGATTTTACAGGGGTGGCAAGTCCTTAAGGTGGGCACACTGTATATCAACTGAACAGGAAGCGATGGGATTGTCTCCGTTCAGAAGAATGCAAGCGGATTCCTTGATCTTTCTTTTTTGGTTGTTATCTTCCTTTCCTATGATTTTGATATCATTCCACTCTGCCATATTATGTTGTCCTTCTTCAGTAAGGATATGTTCAGTTAGCTTCGATTTATCGATATGTCTCTTCATGATATTGTACTTGTATTCTTTAGTTATAACTGAGAGAGGTCTTTTCGTTTCACCTGTATAATACTTTCCACAAACACAAGGTATACTATGAACACAATTTGTTGATGAGTGTTCTTCATTGTTTGGCTTTGTTTGAGTTAGAATAGATCTCATTGTATTTTCAGATTTGAACACAGTTTTCACTTGGAACTTATCACCAACACATTTTATTTTTTCAGATATGCCGGGAATGTACAGTATTAAATTTGTCGTTATTGATGGTTGTTTTTGTTGTGGTGTATTTTAATTGTTTTCAATTTGGTGAATTTCTATCAATGAAGTTCTTCGGATATGAGTTGAGTTGAAGAACATCTTTAATGTGGTGGATTTCGTTATTAAAAATTTGTTGGTTAGATGATATTGATTTGGCTCGATCATGAAGTGATTTGATCATTCATTTTTTGATAGTTTTCTGATGATTTGATTGAAAATTGAGGTATCTGTTAGTATGAGTCTTCTTACGATATACACTTGTTATCAGGTAAAATAGTTTTATAACATTTGGGGAAAGTATTATATGTTTCACACGGCAATAAATGTAGAATGATTGCCTTAGCTGGATTCCTATGTTGAACAATCATCTACTACTTTTCTGTCTAATAAAACAATAGTTATATTTTTCTATCGATTTCTAAAAGAATTGCTGGAAATTACACAGATTTTCAAGAAATTCTGAACGGAATCGTTTTCGGCTGCAAGCACGCCCCTCTGTCTTGTTGCAGGTGTGACAGATCCGCATGGCCTGCCGTCGCAGCCAACACCTGCAGCAGCCCGGCGTCCAGCAGCAGCAGCAGCCACAGCAACGGCAGCGGCGCAGAAGTCACCATGGTGAAGACGTTCCAGGCCTACTTGCCGCAATGCCATCGGACATATTCTTGCATCCACTGTCGAGCGCATCTCGCCAATCACGACGAGCTCATTTCCAAGGTGAGCAATCTTTCTAATTCATCTGTAGCATGCCATCAACTCAGATCCATGGTTGGAATAAGTCATGACTTTTATGAAGAAGTCAAAAAAGTCCGACTATTCGAATTATTTCGGACTTTATGAATGAATGCACTTGAAATAGTATATTATATGGTGTGAACTGTGGAGTATATGATGCAGAGAGTCTGGATGAGGAGGTCGATGAATTTTATATCACTTTCAATTTTCAATATGAAAGAATTGAAAAAGATAGTGTACAAAAAGTCTGGTTCACTTCAGAATTAAAAACGCTGCACAATATGGTCTGGGATATGTCGAAGTTAGCTAAGAATTCACAAAATGATGTAATCCATGCTAGGTATACGTATCCCTGAAAAGGTTAAATATGCACGCACAAACTTTAATAACAATAGAATATCCTCGAATATTATTGAAAAAATCCTGAAATATCATAAAATGAGGCTAATGGGTCAAAAAAGAAAACGCAAGATATCTGTAACATATTCAGTAAGCACTTTGCCGACATACCTACCCTGTCCATATCCAAGTGGCAAAGTAAAATTACCCAAACACTTTTTCTCTATCCAACCACTCCGTTTGAAGTAGTATATTCAAAACTACCTCTAAACCAACTCCAGGCATTGATGGTATTCGTGGAAAAATACGATTTGCTGGTATTCGTGGAAAAATACGATTTGCTGGTATTCGTGGAAAAATACGATTTGCTGCAAAGATAATAAGCACACCTTCGTCTCACATTATCAATGAAAGTTTCATAACTGCACGAAAAACGTCTAAATCTATACCAATACAAGGTGATATATGAGTATGTGGCCAAAAGGTTTGTTAATCTGTGGTGATAATGTGAGTGATTCTAAGACGAAAATTTCAAATAAACTTTGGTCCACAAATGCTTCGTTTTCAAGATACAAAGTGTCAAAGTTTCAATAAAAAATCGTTTTTTCATTAATTTCTAAAAATTATGTTCTCCAATTTTAATGAAACTATAAAAATAAAGGCTCAAGGAATTTGGTGGTCAAGTATCGAAATATTTCTATTCAAAGTCAAATTGCAAAAGTAATATTGATATAGCATACAACTCAAGACTCGAAAAGTTTATTGAACATCATCAATTACTAAACAATTGTCAATACGGAGGAGGAAGGTCCACAGAAACTGTAAATATACACGAGTAAATATTACGGTTTGCCGACGTTTCAAAGATACTTTCACGGAAATGTTCTTTTGTAATATAATCTCTGCTATCATTCCACAACTAGCAATACCAGCCAAACGATCTCAAATCAAAGCGCAGTCAGCACATCCTCACGTTGTCAACCTCGAAATATGTCGAACAGCACTATATCAAAACTCGTTTCTCCATAGAACGGGAAAACTCTGGAATTCGTTGCCTAAGGGAGTATCTCCAAGAGTTAGAGAAAAATTCCAACACTTACGTCCTCTCCCTAATCTTCCCTAGGTACGCAGGATGTTCTTCGAACATTATAGAGATTTCCTTTCGTGCGCACCGAGCGATTAGAAAAAAACTGATGGAACTCTCACAATAACGTGATGCCGTCGACGTCGAAAATACGTAGTGATGTAAGTAGTTCATTTTCCGACAACAATTTAGAAGAATCAGTGGCATTTTTCAATGGTAAATCAATTTGATATAATTTTGACTCAAAATTGAAGATGCTCCCACGAAATACAGCATTTTTCAACAAAAATGAGGTTCCATTTTGTTTGGCATATTTCCAAAAATAATTGTAAATAATGTTAAATTATCAGTATTATCACCCACCCCGTAAATTTATTACTCATGCCTTCCATTACCCAAACGATAAACGTACTGGTCTGAAAAAATTCAGTTCCGGATTACCCAATAAAAAAATATGAGTAAATTGTTGGGTGATAAAAACAAAACCTTGTATTATAAAATGCTTGAAATTCGCTTTCAAATTTGAGAATTAAAAACGAATAAAAATAAATAATAATAATAATATGTATGTGTTACAAGGACAAAATGTCCCTGTGATTGAATATTTCACTACTGAATTCAATAATGCAAACGTGTGAACTTTTGCTCATAATTTAATCCACTAGGCAATGGTTGCATGATTTGAAGATGAAAGTTGTTATCCATTAGTGAAAAAATAAAGAAAAAAGTTATCAATCACGCATTTGCATGATTTGAAGATGAAAGTTGTTCTCCATTAGTGAAAAAATAAAAAAAAAAGTTATCAATCACGCATCCCTGGTGGGGATCGAACCCACGACCTTTGGATTAGAAGTCCAACGCGCTATCCGCTGCGCTACAGGGACTGATATTTAAAGTTGCTGACAAATTAAAGTCAACGATGTCTTAGTGATTTCAATTCAAAATTTTAGGCAAAAACTAGTTTTCCCATCATAACTTCTGAAGCACTCTATTGATAATGTAGATGGAAAAAATTATCCAGTGACGTAAATACGGGGAGTCCAGCACCCCTTTCACCTTCTCCCAATCTTTGGTGCCACTGATGTATATTTTACAAATGAAATTGAATTTTTTGATTCCCTGTTTAATTAGAAATAAACTTATAGAACCCTTGCAAACTTTTCATGTTTTCGTTTTCAAGATACCTACTTATAGGTAGGTAGGAGTATAACTACCTACGTTATAAATTTTGCAGTCATATCATGTGATGCGAGTGTTTTCTCGAAAATGTTTTCGCTACTTTTGAAGGGTGTCCCATAAAGTCATACCTATATGGATCAAAAGAAAATGAGGTGGTAGAGGGTAGAGGGCGGGGTCATTTCCAATCAAACTAACCGTATATGTAAAGAATTAATAACAATGAAACTATGTCATATTTATGTTTTTTTATTTCACAAATTTCATCCACCAAATGATGCACCTTTCCCCAGAAATAGTTTTATGACATGTGTTTACTTCTCATCATCAATAATTACCTGAGAAAAATTTTATTTACCTTGAGTTTTGTCATTGAATGAAATATTAAATGCCGCTGGCAGATTGAAAAACTACCCCGCGAAGATCACCAATTATAAGAAAAAGTTGTCCATTCAATACACATTCCAAAATCGTATAACCTATGGGGATATTCAGAACAGTCTTTTTGATATTAATTGTTTCAAATGGGTCGCGTTTTTCAAAAAAGTTGAATAACTTTCGGACCATCAACAATTGATTGCAAATGCCCCACCCTACCAACCCACTTCTTTTGATCCATGACTTATATGGAACACCCTGTATATAGGTACGTATTTTCGTCTGAAAAACACGAATTCCATTATGAAAATGTGAATAAACCAATATTCATCGAGACATTTTACGAAGAATTTCGAAATTTCATCTGCTCTTGCTCTGCAATGTGCATTGAACACATATAGGTAGAGTGCTTTCGTGTATAAAGTACCTATACTGAATACTGAATAAATTCATTTTCAGCCTTACCATTTCTGAGAAATCTTCTGAAATAGCAGGTCGATTCTTGTTTTCAAATTTACGACATTTATAAGAAGCAATTTAATAATGACGACCGAAACAATTTTTTTAAAAGGAACACCCTATACATATTATTCAATTTTCTGGAATCTCCATGACTTCAAAATTGTATTACACATAGGGTCAATTTGTATACATTGTGACCGCTAAATCGAGTGCTCTTATTGTAGAGTATATATACCGGGTGACACCAGGAGACATGTAGCAGCCTGTAGTTTTTTTATTTGAAGAGATAAAATTTTGAAATTCACAGGGGGTATATAATAAATGAAAGCGCACCTTACGAACTTAACGACAATTTTTTTCATCCACATGGTTGACCGGAAGTGATCCCAACTTTTTTTTTTTTCAATGTAACCCAGTACATTTCTTCAGTCTATCTTCTTCGCCTCGAAATTCTCTATCCAACCATGTATCACAAAGTGGCATTAATCTCTTAATTCGCTGTTGAATTGCTTTTTATTCAAAAAGAATAAGTTGACTGTGACATGAATACGATAATACATCGACACTTGGTAGGCTTTGAAATTTAAATATCATTAGTAAACGGTAAACCGATATTATTCAAAATGTTTTGATACTCTGATCAATGTCTGCATGTTGTCCATAGCTTGTTTGAGTCAAGATGAAAACCTTCGAAAATAACTCATGATATTGAGGAATCTAAGATAGGAACATATTTTTTCGAATTCAGCTACTCGGACAGAAACTATATCTGTCTTTTATTACCTATCATATGATCTTTCCATTTGGAATAATAAAACTAAAATTTTTCCTCTTATACGATGATCCACAGGCTTTTCAGTCTGTTGTTTCATAATATTATTTCACTTAGTAGGCGGTGTACCTACACAAAATGTTTTATGTGTTTGACAGTTAATCGATTGCATAATAGGTGATAGTTTTTCATAATACTCACTCTAATACATAGCTTTATACCAGCAACAGTTATCACTTCATCATTTTCAAATCGAAATATTCCGAAAACGGAACATTGTATCGAGTTTCACCAGGAGTAACTTTTTGGCGTGAAATTGAATGATGTTCAAGTTCACATCAAATTTGGATTGAAAAATCTAACTTCAGAAAACTTATGTTCAAAACTACTCGGTACGAACTGTACGTGTAACTAGTGCCCTCTATGAGAGTCAGATATAATAACAAATGCATGCAATGTGTCGGACTCCAAGAAACATCCTTACAAAATTTCATCACAATGTTGCCAGTAGTTTCGACATAATCTTGAAAAATGTGTAAAAAAAATATTTTTTCAACACCTTGTATCTTGATAACGGATGCCGTTACGAAATTTTTTCACTGAATAAACCCAACTTATTTTGCAGTGTTCTACCTACCCCAGTAAGGGAGTCAGGTTTTTTTGAAACACCCTGTGTATGAAGATCAAGAAGAAATATGATTTCCTGGCGATTTTTTCATATTTATTGTACAATATTTAGCTCGATATTTAGTGAACATATATATAAAGTGTCTACTTGTCTAAAATTCAATAAAAATGTGTTTTTGACTAGTTTAGTAAAACAACACTCATATCTTATTCCTCATAATATTGACGCTACCTACTATTGTTCCTAATCCACTTGAATTATTCAATATTATTGACAGCCGCTTCCGTAAATGTGGAACTGGGTCATACATTATGATATTCTGTTTACCAGTTCACGTTAGATTGATAGGTATTATGGTAATGGTGATGATAGTTCAATATACAGGGTGTTTCAGATGCAAATGTATACGGTGATTCAAATTTCCCGTCCTTGGCTCATATCAGGAAGGAGAAAACTGCAAATAATGCAAATTTGGCAGATAGAATTTGAATGGCTGTGTGTAAGGTCAATTTCTTCGCATTCAAACATTCTTTAGCCTTTTTCAAAATGGCGGAAATGGTGTCAGAATTTCTTTTCCACAAAGTCACCACATTTTTTCCTAATATTCTGAAAGAACATATTTTTTCAAAGATTTTTCACCCCAATACTTTTTTTCGTTCTTCATTTGGTTGATTGCTATAAAAGTTGGCATTTTTGAATAAACCTCAACTGCATGACCCTGCCATAATAAGTCAGCCGGAAAACAAATTGTTTTGTATTGCATTCATTTGAAACCTATTAAATCTAAAACCCTAAAACCCGGCTGATTTGATTCGATTTTTTTTAGTGGGTTCAGTTGAAATATATTGATATATTTTTAAAAAAATTCTAAATTCAGAGTCCTATAACTTTCAACCAAATGAAGATAGAAAATATCTTTTTGGATGAAAGTTCTCCAGGAAAATATATTCTTTTAGAATATGAGGAAAAATTGGTAACTTTGTAGGAAAAATGATGTTTCTGAAGCCATTACCGCCATTTTGAAAAGACATGAAAACCATCCATCCTTCTCAAAATGGTTCAAATTCTTTCAAAGAAAAACAAAGATAGACAAAGTGGGTCGACCCCAAAAATAAGTACACAGTACCAGTGTACTAAAGATGGCTGTTTGGCCGGAACTAGTCACAATACATTTTGTGTAATATAGTTTTTGTGGTCCGACTTGGTGTATTTCTGTTTTTCTCTGATTTTGAAAAAAGTTTAAATCTGTTTGAACAGGAAAAAATATACCTTCTCAAATCCCCTCTGCGAAGTTTGCCTTTGCAGTTTTCCTTTTCCTCTTACAACCCAAGGGCGGAAAGTTTGAATCACCCTGTACACTGAGGGAAAAAATTTGTAGCCGTTACTAAAAAATTAGTAACTACAGAAAAATTTTTTAGTACGATAGGGGACAGCAAGCATTAGTTGTTGCCATAACTAATTCTGTTTTTCTGGAAACGCCTATTTGCCTCAAATGAAAAGTTTAGTTGAGTCATCTACGACGTTGTTGTGGTAACTAATAAGCCATTTTAAGGAATAATACCAAATTTCATTTGCCACAATCAAGATACATAGTTATGACGATTATATTGTTAGTACTGTTTCAATATATGTTTGTTATCACAACAAATTATCCCAGTTGTGGCAATTACTCATTTCTTCTGACGTTAATAGTGAGTGTGTTGTTGCAAATTAAATATTTAATTGTGACTGAAATGGAATCTAGTTACTATTAAAAGTGATTTAGTAACGTTTGAAATATAATTGAGGTATTCTGGCAACTTAATAGTTTTATATCAATTAAAATCAAGGCCCCATTCTAATAATAACAGTTTGTATGCCATTTTCCTTCCAATTTCCAATGGAATCGTGAACAGGAATACACCACACACCGTAAGTGCCACAGGCCACAGCTCAGTAAAAAGAGAGGGAATCATAAATTTACACCGTGTACACGTGACGTCGGTTGGACGTTTCTCACCGTCGCCCGTCGTAAATTGAACTGAATTGTGAATAGGTACCTAAACCTGATAACTAGTGACGCACAGATAACGATGGTAAACTGCAAATTATTATTTTGCCAACCAAATGCCAAATGGCTCAGTGCGAGGTGCAAAAAAACACAAAACAGTGATTTGAAAACACACAGAGCAGTGAACCAGCAAGAACACAACGCTCCCGGGTACACTAGACAATTATTTTATTTATTTTGTCTAAGCTCGACGACCGTGCGATCTATCCACTATTAAGATACAAGTTCAAATGATGAAACAGAAAGACAAACAGATGCAAGATGCAATTTTTGCCGGTGGGTCCCGAATAGACGCGAGGCAGTCCCGAACGACGCAGTACAACTAAAATTATTAGTTATGGCTAAACAATTTCTGCTATGAATAATAATTAACCTTTTACGATAAATGTGTCATCAGTTGTGGCAAATAGTCAGCTGTTGTTAGTAACCCCAGAATGAGGATTTTTAACCCCAATATGAAATTTTAATTGACTGAATAGACAACACTGTGATAATTCTGTCACAAATAGTATTTTTATTGATGACAAATAATTGGCGAAAAATAGAAAAGTCATTTGTAGGAAATAAGGATACGTTGTCATTGTTAATAAAATTCCAAATATTTTTAATTATCGGTACTAAAAAAATACCAACTAGACGTTTTAATTAACCAGTTTTTCTTAGTGTACCTCGCCCTGTACATACCATATTTAGATAGGACTCATTGATGGTTCCAAAAATCACACCCCGTTGCAGTTCATTCATTAGCTACGGTAAAGTAGGCTTGTAGCAAAATATTTTAAAATTCTAACAATTTTCAATCACCATTGTGACTATTGTCTGTTTTTCCTGAAAAAACCTGGATTCTCATGCCATGTCGATTTCTATGTAGTTTTGTGTAATATGAGTGAAATGGGAGCACGATTAAATATCTATAGTCCTATATCTCAGCAACTTATAAAATACGGTAGACACAACAATGGGGTGTGGGGTGTGTTTGTAACAACCAAGTGTCCTCTATTTATTGGTTCAGTATGTATGTATGTACATTCAAATCTAAAATACCCTGTAAGTCACACAGTGGAAAATCCCTCTAGATAGCCTCAATCTTTGTCGAAAATAAAAAACTTCAAAGTTGAAATATTTTTCTTTTTATTTACAGTCATTCCAAGGCAGCCAGGGACGAGCATACTTATTTAACTCAGTGTGAGTACATACGTAACTCGATATTTTTATAGGTATAGATATTATTTTGTGTATAGGTATACATTTTGTGTTAGGATTGAGATACACTGTATAGTGACTCCCCAAAGTTCTGTGATTCAGCCTCTATCCTGATGCATCAACATTTTCAAAGTTATATTCATGTTTGATTATTTCTTATTTATATTTCATGTCCAGTATAAAAGAATTCAAAAAAATTTTCACTCTTAAAAGAGATTGTTATGGATTCTTTTGTTTGGAATTATCTCATCTTCTTATTGGAATTTAAGTATTTTGGTTGCAAAATCAATGAGAAGTGTATGTTTGGTTGCCTATAAAACAATCGTGCATTAATAGACAAATTGATCATTAATTGGGGTCATTAATGAACGATTTCATATACATTAAACTTAGTCGTTAATACGAGGTCGAAGGAAAACCATTTTAGAGCAAGATTTTTGCCTGCTGTCAATAGTCTGACGTAGCCCCCTACCTCGGAGACTTCACACGTTATTCAGGACACTAATATACATACATATACCTGAAACCACAGAATAAAATTATAATCAAGGCACAATATTTTTATATCTGTAGACTATCAGCAGAATGGTTAAGACTAAAACTAATTTTTTTCCCTGAACTGAAATGAATCTGAGCGTGATATGATGGAAAAAGCAAGAAATTCCTATACAATGTCTTTTCATGAAGTTCACGGTGAAATTAAAATCTGATTATAGGATACTTTTCTACTGAGGAGTACTTATAATAATTGTTTTTTTTTTCAGTGTAAATGTAGGGTGCGGTCCTGCCGAAGAAAGGGTTCTTTTGACTGGGCTACATGCTGTCGCCGACATTTATTGCGAATGTTGTAAAACCACCCTTGGTTGGAAATATGTAAGAACATATCTCAAGATTATTATTACTTATTGCTGACGATTCTAAGGAATTTTATTGAACACTCATAACTAAACGTAATCGAGAATCATATTTGAATCATCATAACTTCCGATTTCCAATTTATCGCGTTCATATGCTCATCAATGAGTGTGACAGAGAAGAAGTTTTGATATTGCGAAGTCACACCCATTGACCATATGGAAGAAAGTACTCACTTTTTCACCGTGAGAAAAAAGTATATCATGAAAAGTGACATTTTATATCCTGTAAACAAAGATGAAATTTCAAAACTTCTTTCCCGTCACAAGAGATAACATTTTTCACTACCAGCAATTTATTTCTATCATTATAGTTCTGTGAAACTGGAATATGGACCTATTGTCACTTCTCTTCAATATACATATTAAAATCTAATAGTCATCACCATGATTGCAAATGATGACAAGTCGTTAATGATAAAAAGATTCGAGTGCCACTCTGTCATTCCCGTGAATCTCGCATCAAAACATTGAATTCCGGTTAAATATATCATTGACTAGCAGTTCATAAAATGGCGAAAACACCTTGATAGAAAAATACACCGAACGCCTTGAAAATGAGTAAATAATTGTAGGTTATGTATAGCTAGTAATGGAAACAATTTTTTCTACTACTGCTATGAAAAGTAGCGCATTTCTCATAGCTTACTTAGTTTCAAAACCATGTATATTGCTCATACTGTGAGAAATATTTTTTCTCACGGCACTTTGCCAACACCATGCACATACATTTCCATGGAGAATCAACAAAAATCGACCAACACTTAATTGGCTGCTGTTCAGCTTTGAATAGTTGTCACAACTGTCAGAGGAAGTTTATTAGATTCTTTAGGGTAGTTCTCATTGGTGCTTTTGATAGAAATCGCATTTTCCATCTAATATTATTCCAACAATTCATAATAAATAATATGATGTATATACCGAGATCTGACGATTTTGATAAATACACCGCCAGAGACAGAGATAATGGAAAAAGATGCGCAAGTTGAATTTCTTTACGGAAATTTCAAGAAAAAAGTATGAATTGGCATATACGAAAAATGTATGGAATCTAAAAAAAAAAATACAGAAATAAAATCTTTTTCGGAAAGTCTACTTTTTTGAAATATACTTTGAGGAACTAGGAAATGCGTCTACTCTTTGGTCACAATATTCAATGTGGCATAGTGCCACATTATAAAATGAATACCAATATTCACATTACTTTGGATTCTTTAAATAAGTGCAGTGGTAGAAAAAGTATAGTGTGCAACATGTGGGGAAAAGTACTTTTCTCACTCGTGTGTTTGCATCACCCGCCCTTCAGGCTCGTGCCACAAACTTTCACACTCGTGAGAAAAGTTGGACTTACCCCACTTGTTGCACAATATACTATTATATAATTATGTTTCAACGAAATTACGGAATATTATTTCAGGAACATGCCTTTGAATCCAGTCAGAAATACAAAGAAGGCAAATTCATCATCGAGTTAGCGCATATGATCAAGGAGAATGGCTGGGACTGACCATATTGATAAACAGAAGCTGTAAACCCATTCAAAATGTTCGCCAAATTGCTCAGAAATGAAGAAGCAAGCCATGGAATCGTTAGAAATAAAAACTTTTGTTTCCTCGATTGGACCTAAAAAGTGTTGTGAACCTACAATAGCAACACATGGATCGAAAAAATGGTGGTATAATTTAGGATCGGTATAGACGTCGAAACTTATTATGGATGTTGTGACTATCTTGGTTGTTGTCGAGGCTTGATAGTAAAGGCACTTTTTCCTCACCCGTTCCTCCATTTTAGGGAACATGAATAGGTATGTGCAATCTTCTAACCCAATCTGAAAAATCGAAGCTCTTCACAACACAAAGCGTACTGTGTTAGAAACCAAACTGTGTCTGTGTTACTGGATCTGAGATAAAAAAAATATGTTAGAGGGATGTTGGAACTGCCGTGCCACCGACCGGTGCGCATATTCATATGTTACCGACACAAAACGACAGTCGGATTTCCGAGCGGAGCCGAACACGTAATAATAAGTTACCGACGTAATTTTCAGTTTATGTCTGTAACTTAACGGTTGGAAATGGTTGGAAACGAGCCTGTAGCTGTCTGCTGGCAGTGGAAGAGATGCAGTTTTTTCGTCATAGAAACGTTTTTGAGTGAGGCCGTGCCACAGTGAGCTAAGCGTCCGTCTACCACAACTTAAGGGCTCGAGTTCAGTCCTCACGAGATTGAGTTTTTTTTTCTATTCAAAAACCTCAAGAAGTTTTCCGTTAGTCTGTTTGAAAAAGCAGTCTCCTTCGTTCTCAACAATAGTAATTGTCCGAAAAATATACTTTATAGGAAGACGGTTCATTTCGGACGAATTAGGTCTTGGGCTGAAACGATATTTTCCTTCCTCATAGGTATTCGCAGAAGCAAATAATATCAATGAAAAAATAATAAACTGTACTGCGTTGCTTGATCTAGGCAAGAGTTACCGACGGAATCCTAAAGTTACGTCTGTAACTTGAATGAAATCGTTCGGATTTCCGGAGCGGCTAGTTGTGTCGGTAACATATGAATATGCGACCGGTGCTGCTCGTCAAATTAAGACTTTACAGATCATGGCAAATCGATATATTGCCAATGATCGATAAAAAGAGAACTGTCGGTGTTTATGGTCCAGCTTTTGGGTGATTTTGAGCAGAAATTGAGTCGGTTCTATTTTGAAAAAGTCGAGAAAGGCACACGTGTAAATTTATTGGTAATTTTGCACTTATCATGTGATGGTTTTTCTCCGAAAAATGTTTTTGTTACTTACGTATTTTTTTCTAAAACACGAATTTGATAATGAAAATGTGAACAAACCATTATTCATTAAGATATCTCACAAATTCACCTTCTTTACCGCCTGAAAAAATAACATATAATCACCATGACAGTTTCGAGAAAATCGCATCAGTAATAACTGAGATTTTGTAGCGTAGTCATGAAAATCGGGATTTTGAATTTTTCTTGAGATTTTGAAAATATGAATAGGGGGTTTTTGGGGAGGCTGATTCTGAATCTGATGAAAAAAGTTGTTTAAAATGAGCCCTAATATCTTTTTTCCGAATAATGGCCTTTTTTGTACTTCATTGCTCTAACAATCACCACTAAAATGTCAAGAGAATAGCATCATTAATAACTGGAGTATCAGGGTGTATTTATGAAAAGCGGGACACACTGTATATGAAAATCAACTAGAAATATGATTCTCTTGTGATTTATCGATCTTTAGTGAACGGAAGAATATCATTCAAAACAATGGCGTGTGTTACCTCATTCAAAATCTGTTGACATTTGACATCTCGTATTTGGATTGATTATTGATTAAATGGCCGTCATCTGGTATGATTGTTTACTGAATATGAAGAACTCGCCATGAAAACCAAATTTCGTGTTGAATTTTCTATTTAAAAATGTGTCATTGAAGTACATCATGAGTATATAAACTGTCCAATGACAAAATAAGAAGAGCTAATAGCTGTAAATGCACAGGGGGGGAAAGAAGGTGAAATTTTTTCGAACTTTTTCTTGAAATATCTGGATAAGTAGTGGTTTGTTCACATGTTTATTATCGAATTCGTGTTTTTTTCAGACAAAAAATGTAGGTTACAAGAAAAAAATCGCACATAAGTGCGAAATTACCATTTTTTTTTTTCAGTCAATTTCAATCTGGTCAAAACACTGCTCTGATGATAAGCAAATAGACGAGCGTCTCGTGCACTCACATCACAAAAACAAATTATTTATCACAACTTTAGGAGAATCCGGTTTATTTTGATTATAGATAAATTACTACCTGATGGCTGGACTATTTGTCACATTTATAAATTATTTATAGTAATGTGTATCACTGGTTTTCAAGTTAAGAGTTCTTTTCTTTAGGTTTGGCATGTTTTAATTGTTTAATCTTGTTATGCAATAGTAAAAATAAGATAAGGGCTATTTTTATTTCTATATTTCTTTAAGCAAAGATCTCAAACAATCTTTCCTCTTTCGAGTTATGAAGTATGCATCTACATTCTACAGGATATAATCACGTGTCATCAAATACATAAATTAATCATGGAAACATAATGTACACCCTGCAGCGGACGAAAAGTGTTTGCGGCCGAAAAGTTAGTGTCTGCGGACGAAAAATAGTTGCCTTAGGAAATAGTCTGTTTTTCTTTCGGACACTAGATCGTCTAATGTGATTTTTTGCAGAGGTCAACGAAAAAAATGTTTTTATGTATTTTTTGATATCTCATTACAAATTAGGTAGGTACCTACTAATGAACTAATGTTTGACTTCGATAAAATGCTCAGTTCTAGACTCAAATCAATTTGAATACAAAATAAAATGCGAAAAATTATGCATGATATTGAAAACTATTATGACAAGAAAATTCTTCATAAAAGTTTTCACTTGTGATATCACTAGAGGTTACATTATTCTGAATAATTTCCAAAATATCCATGAGTTCGAGAAAATTTCCAGAAATTAACCTCGTGTGGGGTTCGTTAAGAAAATATCACACCAGATTGTGTTTGAAAATGAAATGATTTCAGAGTTTATTTTCTTATTTGATTTCCATTTCTGCACCAATACATTCCTAGCTTACACATTTTTGATTTCTACCTATTGTAGGTGCATGAAAATATCAGTTTAGATTGTAACATATTATATTCTTCCATTTTATATCAATTTTGAGTTGGAAGTGGTAGAAAATCATATCATTATTCTGCCATTGAAACGTCAAAAAATTCCTGATTCAATTCGTTTGTTATGTATGGTGATCAGTCAAAAGAATCCAATTTGATTGGTTAAAAATGACTGGTGTGGAATTTTCAACAGTAATTACACAAATGTTGGTTATTTCTTGATGATTCAACGACTCTGTTGCTATAGAAATCTTACGAGTGGACGAAGTATACATGTGAAAAAAATAATATTATAAATAACATGGCATGTAATTCGATGTTTAACTTGATTTCACTCCAAAACACCACAGAATCTTTCTTCAATACTGTCAATCTTCAATATGGTACCTACAAAAATATGTATAGTGCTAATTATACCCATATGAATTTTCGTTTATGTATTTGAAATCTACAAGAAAATATGACATGTGAAATTCATGTTCTCTGAGAACTGAAATTAAAAAAAGGTCAGAGGTTGGCTCAAAATATAAATTGAAGGCCCTGTACATCTGAATCTAGAAAGTCAATAATATAACTAGTATTATTACCAACGTTTGAGATGGGCTTCATGAAATGCTCATAGGAAAGATTGTTCAATTTACAAGGATCACATTTCAGATTGTCTCATCAGTTTTATGATGAGATATTTTCAAGTTGATATGTTGTATATCTTAAATCACTATCGTTTTGTAACTTGTATTGAATTGTCTCAATCTCATCGATGCTTTATAGTTGGACGATGGTTTCAGTTTTTTTTTTTTTAATATAAAGGAGAGTATAGCTACATTTCAGAAACATCTTCATCAGTTTTATGATGGGGCGTTTTTGAGAAAATCATTTTTCTATATTTTATACAAAATCATTGAACTTATGTGACTTTGAATACCAAAAGGATTCAATGGTAGAACTGTCAAAATTATGTCTCTGATTTATTGTGATTTATCTCAAATAACCATGTTCCAACCAAATTTAGCATAAGCATTAATATCTGATGTTAAAACGAGAATCAATACTCGAAAAATTTGTGACATTAATTCTTTATTAGAATGTATTGATCAAATTTTGTTTCATTTTTTTGTTCATATGGTTCAATCAAATCATCGTTGACAGAGAAATGTCACATTCTTCTCTTTTATTATTTGTGATAATTATTTTGTGATATGTTCTCGACAAAAATTGCATATACATAAACCTACGTTTTTACTCAACCTATAAAAAATATTTTCGGTAAAATAGCTGATAGAAAATATCTAATGATAAAACTGTTTAATATAAATGTCAAATTGTATTTTTTCACTATAATATTTCGATCAATAATCCTTAGTCTGAATAAGAAATAACGTTGAGTTGAAACAAGCGATGGACATTCAAAACCCTTTCAAATCTGGATGTCCATAATGTATTTTGAATATTATGCAATTTTTAGTTTAATATTTTTTTATGCTATATATAATTTGTCATCTAGTCTCTGGTTCAGTTAAATTTTTGTATGATGATAGTATATTGTTCAAATGGCACGAAATGATAGTTACTTCCTACGAGAATGAAGTTTGCAATCATACTAGTGGGAAATTAGCATTCCGTGCGAGTTTACACTATACTTTTTCTACCGCTGTAACAGATAACGGCGAAATTTTCGATTTCTGCGGCTTGTAGCCATCTATGATTTTTTCTTAAAAGTAATGATCATCTATTAGATAGCTGTCATTGCTTGAAATTTGACATTCCATGAGAGATCAGATTTTGTGAAATAGTAACACAATGAAATAATTGTGATATCAAATACGGAAATAAAATTGATGGCATACAAAGTACCTCATTGATTTATCGAACACATTAAAACAAGAGCAATTTTGTGTTACAGCCGTAGAAAATATTTTTGTCAAGTATCTACAGTTGATAAAACTATCAGTTTTTTATGTATTGTGAAACAGAGGCTGTTATACCTATTGTTGGGTCTATAGTGAATTCAAGTGGACCATTGAGAGTACGAGAAATGGTTCGCAATTTGAATGTTTGCAGGAGATCAACTCATAATTATTATCATGCAAGACTGGATAAACAAATATCGCTAACTGTTATAAGTTTAACTTCGAAATAAATCTTGTAAAGCGCCAGTATCGGTAACTCCAACTGTTTCGTCACAAAGTTTGGTATAATACATATTCATATTCTTCTATCCATCCACAATGTGGACCTTCAGTCATTAAAAGAGTTCACAAATCGAACGTCACAGTCTAAGCAGCATTATTGAGTTGAAGTATCTCTGATAATGCAAAGTTGTTTCAAGTTGTTGCTCCGTTGCCGATTGAATTTGCTACTAGACTAAAATAAATAGTTCACTTTTAACTATGAAAACCTTAGCCATTAAGATCACGCGGTAATTAAACACATTTTTCATTCATACTGCCAGTAGATTCTCGAGTAGATCTTAGAAGTGTCATATTTGTCACTGGTATTACCATCTGTCATCTAGGAAAGTAAATAGATCAGTTATCTCACACCAATCCAAAAGTTCACAATTTACTTTCGAGTAATTTCTTAATTTGTAGGCAGTACGTAGAATGTG